AATGTTCTTTCTATTATATTTGTGAATGATATTATCTTTAGCTACTAGGCAACCATTTTTTTCAGGACATTTTATCTATATTACTATTAGGAAAGGTAAATAGTCCTTCTACTAGTTTTTAGATAGCTCTATGGCCCCAAAAATATTTCATAAAAACCAATAGCTTTTTTCAATTTAAGAGAATAGAATCCATTATATATATATATATATATATATATATATATATATAAATTATTTCTTGAATAACATAACATTCAGTCATTTGGGCATTGGTCATAGGGAGGTAAGATCACATTTGCACATTATGTACAAAAAAATATAATATAAACATTAGCAAAATACCTTAATAATAATAAAAAAATATTTACAACTAGCTTTGGGCGGCCACGCGTTGCTGTAGCTGTCTCGTTGAATAGATAAATAATTAAAAAAGTGAGCAGATGTACATGTTTTAGTATAAACCTTTCACCTTTTTAATTTTAATTCTTTATTCTTCAATATTTATAGTTTCTCATACCTATTGTTATCTATTGTTCTTTTCTTAGCCCTGATGGAGGCCTGAACTTCGGGCCGAAACGAAGGCAAAAATAAATATAATTATTTATTTTTTATTTTGACTGATCATCCCAACCATCCTCTTCAATTATTCTTTACAGTCAACCATCAACTCACAATTAAAAAAAATATTTAATTTAATTCATCAAGGTGATCAGTAAAATGTTTCTATTACTAATAATTATTTAGATTTAAAATAAAGAAACCTGCTAATTGTTTGAATTATTTTCATGAAAACGTAAATATTAAGATTAGGAACATTTAATTCGACACTTATGAAAACGTATCAATTCCTAAAATATAAATCTGGTTGATAAACACAGTTTCATAACCGTATTAGATAAAAAAATAAACGTAAAATCATTATTTTTAACATTTTTTTTCCAGGACATGGAATTAAAGATATTAAAGCTTTGTAATAATTTATTGCAGCCATTTTTGCTATAACACAGGTTTTATTTAAAATACGGGTATTATTATTTTTATACAATTTGAGGTGAATCTCAACTTTTCCTTAATAAACCTGAATCTTATTAATATGGACTTGAAGCTTATTAAACGAAGACATTTTTTTAATAGTGAGGTATCTGTGATATAGTTGAAAGGTCATAATAAAAAATCGAAAACAATTTATGATTTTTTTTAAACAGAATAAAGCTTAGTTTAGCGACTAAAAAGTCCTCTTTGAATCCCTAAGTATATAGATGGTTACAGGTCCAAAATCTGATTTAATCATTTTTTTTAAACAGCTATACCATCTCTTTTATCCTATACCTTTTGCTAATCTAACAAAGATCTCACCTGAATGACACGATTTGGAAAAAACACAATAATACCTTACGCAATTGAGCAATATATGGGTAAAAGAGAAATTTTTAGGAAGAAAAAAATGAACTGGTTTCCGAACGTGACCAAAATAAATGAATTACTGGCGAACACTTAGGTGTGAAAGTTGAATGGCATGGCCTATTTATGAATCTGTGAGCCTACAGAAATATATTTTTCTCTTGACCAAAAGATTAATTTTTTTTCCCTACTAGCCTGCTGCCACAAGGTAAGGAAAGTATTGTAATCGGGTGGAATTTCAGATGGGCAATTTATTTTTCAGAGCACCCTCTGAGTACAAAAGAAAAATAATTCATTGTCAGCCATCGGTTGGTAATGGATTGGACCGATTTTATTTTTTTATTTTTAGAGTTTAAACCATCAACGTCCGTGTCACTTGTTGAAATAACGTAATTATCAAACATCTTTCTAAACATTTCAGGTGCTTGTTGAAAGTATTTTACATGCCTGCAAAAAACATACGGAATAGATTCGACAGAGTTTTTGTTTACTAATTGAATCAACTCAATCATGCCCATTTCAATACCTAAACAAAATTCCTATGAAGTTATAAAATTCTAGAAAACTTGAAGAGAAATTCCGTTATCTAGAATAATCGATATCAATTACTAAACAGCTTCCAGCCATGGTTGTCGTATCCACTTTTGTTTCTCCCTTCTTTGAATAAGTATTCTTAGTTCATGAATAACTCTCTGGTGAGCCCTAACGGATCCATGATTTAATTTTTGGGGGAGCTTCGGTCCGAAAGATTTTTTTAGTATATATATATATATACTAAAAAATCGCAATATTATCGTAATAATAAAAATTATCCTAATATATATATGTATATATATATATATATATATATATATATATATATATATGCCCATCCATCTTAATTGAGGATGTGGATACAATAAGGACAAATATGATGAGGCTTCGGTTTTTAATGAGCTGGCGGTATAATTTTCGGTTGATTAAACATCCATTCTATTTACCTTATACTTTTTGATAAACTATTCATAAAGTGGGTTAAATACATTAATAGATTGTGGTCTTCTACTTAAGTGGATGGAATAACAAAGTAAGTTCAAGAATTTATAATATATATATTACGATAATTACTTCGGAAGAAAGAAAGAAACTAATTACCAATATATGAAATGGTGTTTAAGTGATTCTTGTAGGTCCTATTAAATGTAATTAGACGAACAATAATACTTTTAGAGATAATTGTTTTCATATAACATGAATATATTTTACCATTGGAGAAGAGAGTCTCCCTACCCCCGTAAATACCCCGTTATACGTTAAATAACAGAAAATTATGGCCCCAGTTCATTAAAAACCGAAGCCTCATCATATTGGTCCTTATTGTGTCGACATCCTCAATTAAGACGGATGAGCATTTGGTTATTATGTATAAATGTAATTTGATCAAGGTGGGTTTTTACAATTTCACAATTTATTCATGAACTTATCACAACGTTTCGGCCAATTCAAGTCTGGTTTATCCTAATTCTATCATGTCACGAATATTCATACATTTTTTGCAAATTTAATTATAAATAGAAATATAATCAGCTATGGTTAGAAATGGATATATCTAGCCTTGACCTTAATCTTAATTACGTTGTTACAAAATTCATATAAAACGACCTTTCAATAACGTTTTCCTGATTCGATTCATTTGGATAAAATCCACATAAAATTTTATCGTGTACAATGAATTTATGGTGCTAAATCAAAATTTTTTAAGCTTTTCACTCTTGCAATCAGTACCATGATAATTTTTTAATGAGTTTTTGATCAATTATATACTATATAATAATAATTGACTTTTAATCAAATTCACCTAATACTTTAAAACGTTCCACGAAAGAGGAATTATATATGCATACCACTTAACATTAAAAAGACAAATAAATGATATATTTTATATAATTAATTATTATTTCTAAACATTAATCAATAGCATATTACTGATCCTTTACACTTGAACTATTCCGATCCTTAGTCTTCATTAAATAAGATATGATCAATAATAGACCATATACGAGCAATATATATACTTATATGTATGAATATATATTTATTTGTGTGTTTATTCGAGTTTGAAAATCTGAAATTTACGCAAGCCTAAAGTTAATCCACTAATTTTTTTTGTCTTTTTTTACGCTATTGAGTTCTATTTTTCGCTTTAAAAAAAAATCACTCAGATATATATCATAGTAAAAAAACTTAACTACAAAAATTAATTTGATATATACTTCCTTAGTAGTGTCTTAGATAAGCAATAAGAACAGGGAGGGCACTGTTGATTTTTTTTTTTTTTCATAAATAGTGTCACATACTAAAACTGCCTAAACTTGATAATTTGGTTAAGTGGTATAGTTGAAAACCACGGTCAACCAACAATAATTTTTACCAAATTAGTCACAAACTGATACAGATTACTGCAAATGGCGCTCTTGGAAATGAATTCATTAAGAGATAAAACTCATAGGATCAAAGTTGTAGAGCATCAAATTCCGCGTTCATTGAGTACCAACAGTTTTAATGTAGGGCACTTAATCCGCTAAAAATAACTAAAATAGTTAGGTTCGGATTTTAGGATCTAAGAAAAATAAAAAGCTATGATTCTTGAATGTGTTTTTTTTAATTTTATTATTATTTCAAAATTAATACATTCTGCCACATTGGAGGGCATTAATTTTAGGGCTTCATTAAACATTCACACAATATATACATATAAATGATAACTAAAATAGTGATAAATGAAAAAAAGTTGTAGTAAGTAAAATAAGAAAATTAACATACATCTGTAAAAAAAAAAAAAAAAAAAAAAAAATATAGAGAAACTAACGAAGGTATATAAAAAAAATTAAATCTTCCTCCCGGACTAAAGTTTTTATTGCTTATTTTTTTCCGCTTAAATAATTAACTATTCTGGGCTCTGCCCCATCTTCAGGAATATTTTACAATACAATTATCATTATTACAACACATCTATCCACTTATAATAATCAATCTTAATCTTTTAAATAAATCATTACTTTAAAATTGGTGTTATTATTACCTTTTTTCTGTTGTTCCTAAATATTTAAATATAATGTGTAAGCGAAAAACATGAGTAATAAAAAATTTGACTTATTTAATTTTTTCGCATATTTTTAAAAAATCCTTTCTGTACTGAATGATTTATGAAAAAAATTGTCATGTGCAATTCTTGTTCAAGGTAATGATTATATTTAAAAATGATGTAGATTGTTATGTTTATTTATTTTATTAATTGTGTTGAATTGTATTGTGATGTTAATCTGGAACTCAGATGAATGAGAATTACGAAACGTTGGTTGATAATAATTTATTATAATAACGGTACTACTATATAAATATTTTTTCATTTTATACGGCATGTATTTCTGAACGTATTTAGTTACACTTTCGAATAGTTCAACCATATATGCCATGAAAAAAAAATTCATATCAGAATCGTGAAAAAATAAGCACATTTTCATATAGAATGCTATTTTTTCATGTTATGTTTATGTCATGAATTGCTTCTTATGAATATATTTTTTTGTTGCATAATTAAGGTAAAAATGCGTACATACCGAATATCAAATGCGTCCAGTACATTTCTCAATAGGGGCCTCCTGGCTGTTCCATGACCTGCAATTAAAAGCAACAACTTTCAAGAACTTGTTCTCTTATGTAATCTCTTACGTGACACTAAACTTATAATCATAAATAGCAATTATTGTCTTTATAGTAATTAACCTAGTTATAAAATTGGTCCCATCTCTACGAGGAATGTCAGTATTACTTCAAATCGTGAGGGTTTCGTATACATTTTATTTGCCCGTAAGTAGACTATACTTAAATTTCTTTTATATATATATATATATATATATATATATATATATATATATAAAGTCACAGAAAAGATATTAGATGTATTAAAGTACATAATTACATGTATAACACTTAAATTTTGTCTATTCTGTTTATTAAAACATCAACACAGTTACAAGTAATCTATAGCCTCGTTATCTGTTACTATCTTGTAACCGTTACGGATCTTAATGATTAGATTGAACCTTTTTCCTCGATTCTCTGGTACTAACTTATGCTCAAATTATTTCACAGCGCATGAATAACAATTTTACGATTGCGAAATATATTGAAATGTATACAAGTGTACAAATGTTTTAGTTCTTAATAGCCAAATCCTGGAAAGTGTTTTTATACAAAATAGTTAATTTAATGCATGAGCCGATTCTGAACAGAAAAAGAAGTTAAGACCAATTTTATGTTTTTCGAAAGGTGCTCACGTTTTTATTGAATAAGAAGGAATTTCTTAAAAGCTGCTCAAGATAATTAAATTATTTAGATTTAGACAATTTATATTTGAGAAAAGAGTGATTAAATTTACTTAGGTCAATGATAATAGGGCTTTTTCAAAAAATCGAATACGGCCACTGTACAGATATATGCTGCTCGTTTATGGGTACTGTAACTGCAGCAGTACAGTGGCCGTATTAGATCTCCTGAAAGTCCCTTTTAACATTGACCTTAGTAAATTTAAACATTGTTTTCTCCAAAAAAAAATTCTACTTTACGATGGTGTACTTAAAATTTAATTATCTTTAACAGTTTTTGAGAAATTCCTTCCCTTTCAATTAGAACCTTGAAAACCTTAGAAAAAACAAACTCAAAATAGGACTTAACTTTTTTTCCGTTCGGAATCGGCCCATGTAGTTTTGCCCTAATGCGACACCAAGACGAGTCTTGGTCTTGGTCTTGGTCATGCGCAAGATTCTCACAATAGTCTTGCAGTTGCCTATCAGCTTATTATTATAGAGATATTACTGTAATTTTTTAGATAGGGGAAACCTAACTTAACCTCAATGAAAAATTGGAAGAGTTAAATGCAAAAGTGGTTATGCCAATTCTTTACATATATTAACAAAAATTGTCAAGTTCTTGCTTTAACCTTGGTCTTGCATTAGTTTAGCGATCTTGGTCTTGGTCTTGCACTTGTACGATTTTGTTCATAAACATTTTGGTCCATTCATTATATGAATTTTTTTTTTGAAAATTTTGTCTAGAATCACTTTCCACAGTTTGCTCATTAATTACTGAGACACCCTGTATACGGTTCTACGAATTTTGAAAACCGTCCAGTTATAATATGGACTTGTTCCTAAACTCAATACACTGTATCTGCTCCGTCTCTAAACAAAAAATCATGTTATGTTATTAAAACCTCTAATTTTTATCCATAGTAATAGTAAAGAAGGTAGGAAGAATTTCATTACAACTACGAAGATATGGCACCTATTCACACAATGTGAAAAGTTCTTTTTCGCCCTAGGCAAACATGAAAACTACGAACACAAACGAATTAAGATTCAGAATACACGTTAACTCTCCATCAAGGTAATCAGATATGCAGTTAAAGTGTTGAAGAATTTTATAATAAAAAGAATTATAAATGCTTGCGATAAGAACAGTTTTGAAAGAAATATTTTTATTTCCAAAAATAATATAATATTGATGCAATATATATATATATATATATATATATATATATATATATATATATATATATATATATATATATATATAATATACATATTTATATATTTTACTGTTAAGAAGAATTTACATTTATTTTTTTTTTGTATTTTTTCTAAAAGGGTTTATTTATATTTTACCATTGTACATAGTTTTAAGTATGTTAGTATGGTTTCGAGAGTTTTGTATATAGATTATTTTATTTTATTTTGTATATATTATGTAGAACTAATATTTTTTTTTGTTTTTTTTTACTGATTTATCTTTATCTTTACTTTTTATGTTTGTTTTTATGTGACCAGATGTAAAATTTTAATTTCTATACTTTTTGTTATTCTGAAGGCACTTCGTCCAGGAATAAAATCATTTTCTTCTATTCTATTCTATTCTATTCTATATATATATATATATATATATATATATATATATATATATATATATATATATATATATATATATATATACACATATATACATATATACATATACAATATAATATTAACTACTTGGCAACTTCGTGTTCTAAAGTATAACTACAAATTTGATACAAATTGTTATTAAGGTATCGTTCCTCCAGTGTTGACTATTCAATGACGCATGAATTGTATTTCTCATGATGATGAAGAGGCTTCTTAAAATTTTATGTATAAAATGTATTAAATTTTAAATGAAGGACATGCTCAATGAAAAACGTTGCAAGAGGACATTCTAAAAAAAAAATGAACTTTAAATATTTGCTATGCATTATTGTTGCTTTGTTTGTGTTGTTTAATAGTACAATTGCATTTAATGACTTGCACGATGATGGATCATGAGGTATTTAAATAAAAACAGTCGAGTTTCAATTTTACCACCATAGACGTCACAATCGAACAGACCCAAACCAAGTAAGTATGCTTCTAACGCCCATTGCTCCTAACAAGTATCACCACATTCATTGTTATATTTGTTATATAAATTATTTACATTAATAAAATACATATCAGGTTTATATTAATTAAGAAATAAGAAATAATAGAATAATGTTCTACATGATAATCATGTTCAGATTTTTAAAATTAATATAAATAAAATTTTACTTCACAATGAATCAAAAATCACATCGAAATGTGATCGGATCTGCTTTAAAAATTGGTACTTGAGAATTTATAACAATAACTGAAGCAAAGTAGATAATGATTCTGTGGCCTCCATTAATAAAACTGATGAAAAAAAATTTAAGGCAATTAATGAATGACAAGAAAAACTATAGAGCATCATATAAACATATCTTATCCGGAAAATATTTTCGAAAATTTTAATTAATCTCCTTAAATAAAAAAATATATTTTTATTGATTAAAAAAAAATGAATCAACTTTTTTTTTTAAACCACCTAAACTTTTTTTTAATCTAAAACATTTTTTAATCAATCTAAAACTTTTTTTTTGAAAGCTATCGAAAGTTTTGTCTTTTTTTTGGCTTTTGCCGTCGTAATTATTATACATTAGTTATAAACTACTCCTTTAAGCATTTAGAATCTCTAGGGTCCGTTTTTTCTATTTAACACTGTAAAATTAAAATATTCAGTTATGCAGGTATAATCTCCATTTAAAAAAAAAACACCTTTTTGCACTAGTGATGGACACCTCGAAATTCAATTGTTTTAGTAATTGACAGTCGGTACCAGTAATGGACACACCTCAGAAAAATTCTAAAATATTTATTTAACTTTTTTTTTGTTTTTTTTTTTTTTGTTTTGTTTAGCACTATAGAAACAACAATGATAGGCATTTTAAAATTTTCTTTTGTGAACTTTGTTCATACAGTCGTCAACAGAGGGTATCGTTCTTCAATCTAGAAAAAACTGGAACCTTTATATCAACAAAGAAGATTATTATTTAAATTTAAAATCCAACCTGTCCATAACTGGTGCCTTCGCCCTAATTTTTATGAGTTCACAAGAGACAAATTTCAAGTTCTTAATCTTTTTTTTTTTATTAATTATCAGATTTTTTCGATTAATAATATATTAATACCTACAGAGGAAAAATAGTTTCAGATATAAGGATTATTTCCAGAGCATTTTTATGGCAACGAATTTTTTAAAATATATTTTCTGATCTGTTTAGTTTCTGTATATTTTCTGTTCCACGGGGTCAACAAAAAGATATTTTCTGTTTTGTTTTTCCTCTTTCTCTCTCTCTCTCTCATTTTTTTTTTTTTTTGTGTTCGACAAACACTTTCTATACCTGTTACGTCCAACACTCTCCCAGGCGCGCCACCCACTATTGAGTAGCAGATATTGCTAACGGTCGGGCTTTTTCGGTTGAGTAATACCGCAATAGCTTATAATGACAGTATACGAACGGTGTCCGTCTGTGGATTGAATAGCAGACGTAATTTCTATTGAAACCCTTTGACGAACTTCGAATAAAAAAATTCTCCTTTTAAATGGCTGATCTTATTTTTCGTTTGATAATGATCTGAGATACGTACAACTTTTCACCAACTAATATGAAACAATGATACAAAACAAGAAACAGCAACCTTTTCGCTATGTAAATAGATGATAAATCCTCCGTTACATAAAAATTATTACCAGACACATCATATTACAGTTAATCTGTTTGTAAATAGAAAACCTTTAATGGTTACCAGGGCTGCCCACAAGGGGGATTCATGACGGGTTTTGGAATTTTTTAGGAAGACAAATTTCTAGGAGGTTATGAATTTTCGGACGAAGGGACAAAAGAAAAACATGGGACAGACCGCAGCAAGTGCAATTGTGTAAGATTTTTCTAATTCTATCTTAGCTTGCTCTGTTTTTAAGAAAAGATGAGCAATAAAATATCTTTGGATCGAGAGAGAGGAGTTGGGGAGGGGGAGTGTAGGCTTGCGCCATCGACCTTGGGGGGAGGGATCCCTGATGGTTACTCTAAAGAAAAAAACTTGAAAATCAGTGGTGAACTGCATTCTAATCGTCTGATTCATCCTCCCGCTATTTTGTACTTACTCAGCCGTAAGCGGATTTGTAACTGTGCTTCATATCGCAAATCAAATCTATAAAAAAAACCGCTAAACTTATGACTAGCGAAAGTGTATATAAGACTTGTTTAGTT